TTCCCTACATTTTACTAAATGTGTCATCTGATGAGATCAACGTGTCTCTTTCTTTTTTTAGTTAGGCTATGTGCGCTAGACACGTGCTTTAGCCCATTGAATTTTCAGTGGAAATGACCTCTTTACCGCAGATTCCAGTAGTGAAAGTAACACTCTTGTAGCTCTTCTCAGAAAGACACACTACTACAGATTAGAGAGAAAGCAGCCTGCCCCAAATCATGGGTGGTACCCTTTGTTTCATCATCTCCAACGTCTGAAACATGCTTAAAGTAAAACATTGAAGAAGCCATACAGGCATTAATGATAATTTGTCTTTAACAGAGGCTAGTTAGTATCCCTGAGCTCTTGTCTGGCATCAAGCTCCTATGCATGCGCTTCCAGCCTGACCTGGTAACGGTAGTAGATGACCTACGACTGGACATCCTGTTGCGCATGTTGAAGTCTCCTCACTTCAGTGCAAAAATGAATTCCCTCAAAGAAGTAAGTTTGAATATATCAGTATTTGGGCCACTCATGCTGTACCCAAGCAACACCCAAAAGGCAGAGGGGCTCAGTGTTTCTAAACATTGTTGCCTTTGGAAAATCTCAACTCATAGTAGCTGGCAGAGAGTGCTCAAGTCAATCTAACAAAAAAAAAAAAAAACACAGAAAGAAAGAAAAGCTTTTGCAAGCTTAGTGGGTTCAAGGACTAGTTTCCTAGCTGGAAATAGTTTAGGTACTTTCACCCTTCTCTTACAACTAGTTTCAGCTACATTCGTAAACAACAGTCTTTGCTCTTCTTTGGATGTTACAGTGAGAGATCGTTCTGCCAACGCTGTGCATTGCTTAGGATATTTCAAACAAATATCTTATTTGAAATATGGAGCTCCGTGAAAGCATGACATACTCTAAATTGAATCTTACCAGACTGTCACACCATTTGGGTGCGTTTGGAATACCATTGTGCCTGGGAGCCCATCATGGGCAAATACTCTCTTCATGAGGTATTTTTCCACCATACAAGTAGAACTAGGAGGCATCTTTACCCCGCAGAATGCATACAACGAAATGAAAGGTTGATTCCTTCAGTTCTCAGGAAAGCATGCTTCTCCCAGAAACTTCTCTTTAGAAAGCTTGCTACATTAAGAGCATGTCTACACATGCAGTTAATGCGAAGCAGTAAAACTCCGGAGTTTATTGCTTTGGAGTTTCTTGCTCCCAGGCTCCCTAGGCGTCTGAACATATGCCCGGAGTTTATTGCAGTTTGTATGTATGCCCAGGATTGCATACATTTTGCCCAGGATGGCATACATTTTGCTGAGGCAGAGCAGCCCTGGCTGGCAGGGGGCCCCAGGGTCAGCCTGTCAGCCCAGGGCTGCTCCCCCTCGGCTCAACATGCTGTGGAGGGGCTGGCTGGGGCTGCACTGGAGCACCCTCATGCAGCGGGCAGTTCCTGCACTGAAGAATCCTTGTGCCCTGGCCAGCCACGGCAGCGTACTACACATGCACTGTTGCTGAGTAAATTAGTTTACTCCAGCCTAATAGGGGCACATGTGTAGACACCTATTCATTTACTGCACAAATTAATTGATTGCATAGTAAATGTCTCATGTAGCTGCGCCTTAAATGTGTTTTAGGGCTTCTCTCAAATTTGGTTCTTGTTTCTAAGGGGAACTGATACATTTGTAATCAAACAAAGTTTACTAATGTATTTACTTTAATTTTGGGTCCTTGGTCATGAGCATGTTGTTTTCCTAGTAAACTAATTTAATTTCACATGTTTAGGGGATTTTTAAAGTTTTTTGGTCGCTCGTTACTAGAAGAAACTGAGATGTGAGAATTCTGTGTCTAATGAAAATGCAGAACTAACTTGAGTGGTGTAGGAAGGCACATACTTTGAGAGAACTTTCTAGCACACCTACGTTTACAGGACAGGAGTTCTCTGTATGCAGTGACAGTAGGAATGGGAGTAGGAAGCTGGGGAATTTAGAGGTAGACAAACATCAAAGCGGTTTCTTTTTTGCTCCTGGCCTTTGACAGCAGACTGGTTTTTGTCTCGTTTTGTTTTGGTTTTTGTCTGTTTTTAATTATAGTGCATGTGATACCCCACTGAACTTTTTGAATGGATTTTACTGTGTGTGAGAATTAGACATAGATGTAAGTTTCACATTCTGTGATTTATAGGTAACCAAATTAATAGAAGACAGCACTGTATCCAAATCGGTGAAGAATGCAATAGATACTGACCGATTATTAAACTGGCTAGTAGAAAATTCTGTTTTATCAATTGCGCTAGAAGGTAAGCACTCTTGCAGTTTGTACCTTGCCTTGTAATTAATGGGACAGCCAGTTGGAATCCTATTCTGTTTTCTGAATAGGAAACTCTTTTGCAAAGAATCTGCTAGCCTTCTACCATTTATTTTGATGCTAAGAAGGTTTCTGAGAATATCACTGGTAAACCCCCTTCTTCTTTTCATGTATGTAGCTGTCTGCCACTGCTTTTTCAGTTTCACTTCCAGCTTAGCAGCTGGTATTCCTAGTTAATACCCACCGGCAGAGAGAGATGACAGTTTTGCCTCCAGTCAATTTCATTTCTCTGATAAAGTACTGTCAGATGAACAGAAAATAATCCATCATTGCTCTTCAGTTCTATTCTCTGATTTTTCTTTCTTCGTAATCTTAGGAATAGCCTGTAATAAATAGCAGATACAGAATTTTCCGATGGAAATAAGATTTAGTTGACACTTCCTTGAAATAAAAAGTCTTTTGTGGCTGACTTAAGAAATGACTCGTGTTCTGTGATAACTTTAAAAAAATGCAATTCATTTGTCTACTTTTGTTCTTTTAGGCAATATAGACCAAGCGCAATACTGTGACCGCATAAAGGGAATTATTGAACTGTTAGGCAGTAAATTATCTTTAGATGAGCTCACTAAGATTTGGAGGATACAGGTACGTTTATGGGTGCTTTTTATTTTTTATATATCATTTAAAAAATTAGCCAGTGTCTTAAGGTGGCTGTTTAGAATTTTGGTGTGAAAATACAAAGTCAGGCTACTTCTAAGATTTTATAGTTGTCCATTTATGTGCTGGACCATCATATTACTTGGTTAATTTCCTCACAGAATCATGGTATGAATTATTAATTTAAATACAAGTGGAATTTCATTTTCAGCCATGGCCATTAACATTTTGCCCACATGATAATGCTGAAACACCTTTAGAAAGAGAGCTTCTTCACTTGTACTCTGTTAAGCACTAATCACATGCAGGGAAATGCTGCAGACATCTTATCGCCAGTTCTTACAATCTTAAGGTAGCTTTACCGCTAGGGAGATTGTGCATGAAACTGCCAAGTGATTTCATATATACTTATAGTAAAACAAAATTGGCTATAGAGAGAGAAAAATATTAAGGGAAAACGGTAACCATAACGCATCTAGCTTTAAACTTGGCCCATGTCTGTGTAGGTTGCAGGCTATTTTATGTATTGGGAATGTAGGAGGAAACATCTTATTCCTGAAGGATTCCTTTACTTGATAATACTGAAATGCAGTGTATACCCTCCAGCTCCAGAGTTTTGTCATCCTGTTCTCCCTGAGGCCCCAGGCAGACATTACAGTCACAACAGGATTAACCAGTTAATTGCGTCTTAAAGTATAAACTGGCCATGTGTTCATTGGATTAATGGCTCAGTAAAACAGGAAACCAGCTATAAAGTTATTGCATAGAAAACCTGTTGTGAAGTTATTGCATCTACATGAGCAATTAAGGCAAAGAAATAAACTCGGGCACAGTTTGGGCTGGAGTCAGCTGCTTCTGGGAACAGCATCTGCACATGCATCTGGGACCACAGCAGTTTGAGCTGGGGCAGAGCAACCCCAGGGTAGCAGCAGGCTCCAGGTAGTGGTGTCAGGTGGTGGAGGGGCTGACTGGGACACAAGAGTGCTAAAGTGTGGAGCTGTATGGCTGGCAGCCCCCCGCACTCTAGCACCCTCATGCCCCAGTCAACCCCTGTTCCCGTCTACACGTGTGTTTTGGCAGAGTAAATAACTGCACTATAAGATAGTACTGTCCCCAGCAGTTAACTTACTCTAGCAGCGTTAATATAATGCGCCGTAATGCCAGTGCATGTGCAGACAGTGATGCTTTACTGCAGGGCTAATTGGTCAACTCCGCAGTAAAGTGCACGTGTAGATGCACCCCTTGTGGCTATTTACCATCACACTTTAAATTGAATGTATGGTAAGCTGCAGCCCCAGAACAAAGTCCCAATCAGCTGATCGTTGGCCTAATCAGGACAGCGCCAGGATGCGAGCCCTGGGGTAGTCCTAATCAACTGATCAGGACCATTCTGGGGCTTAAGCCCAGGGGTAGTACCAATTTTGCTAACAAACAGCTTATCAACTGGCTCTAGGGACCACATGGGAGCTCAAACTGGCCCCATTGGTCCCCAAGGGCAGTCAACGTTCAGTTGACCAGCAACATGGCACAATTGGGATCTGATCCCTGATCTTGCAGTTGTGCCTCCTGCCATGCGCATGTGGCACAGCTGGAGGCACAATTGTTAGGATTGCAGATCAGGCCACATCGCATCTTCAAATGAACATTTGGGGGCGGCGGGGGCTGATAGGCAGTACCATTATATGTTTCAGGTTACTTTAATCTGCCTGACCTGTTTTCAATACAAAACAAAAAAATCACCCCTCCATGGCTGCTCTCCCCCCAGTATGTACCCAAATGTGTCAGCAGAGTGGGGGATAGTAGAGGTTTTCATGTAATATCCATTTAATGCTTTTTCAAAGGCACGTACTATTGTAACTGCCACCCGTGGGCCAACAGATTTAGCTTGGTGCTTATTTTGTACAAGTTTTATTCTTGCTTCCTAATTAACATCTGTATCTTCAAGGATCTGTTCCTTTTTTCTATCCTAGTATTTCTCAGCTGGTAGCGTGTGAACCTTGTGGGAAGGGGGAGATTATGAGACTTTGAAAATATGCTCAGAATCTAAAGCAAAGAGAACGTTATTCTTCAACCCCTTTATCACCATCCAGAGTCAAGTATTCAGTTTATATCTTGAAACATGAGTGTTCATTACTGTAGCCTGATTGATAAATGTTTTACTCTTAAGAGTAAATGGGAAGGGCTTGCAAAAACACTTAGAATAAGAAGCCAGCAACCTGAAAAGGAGGCTGTTCTAATGACCATGCTTTATAATGTTATTTTTTCTGAATCCAACTCATCGTTGGCCTTTAAAGAAAAGGTGCTCATATTCTATGAATGTTCTCTCAACTTATTCTTGCATGTGCATTACTGACTGATCAGTCATTCTGTCATATTAAGAAATTCAGCTTAAGAGCACTCATATTAATCACTCCTTAGAAAAGATGATTCAAATGCTTAATGCAAAATGCACTTTGAAAGCTTGTCTCTTTTTAGTTGGAACAGTTTGAACTGAAATGTAATGTGCCAGTGCGAGAAGGTTTGTTTGGTTTTGGTGGTGGTGGTGTTTTAGTTGGTACAAACAATTCAGTCCCCTATATTGTGTTTAGTTTTTAATTATTTGGAGTCTTTGGATGCCTTGAGAGAGCTACATCAATCCCCATGATGTGTGAATATGATGGCTTTTTAGAACTGTGCCATTAACATGTCCTCAGCTGTCATACTTTGTCTTAACCCTGGCCTGTGGGGTAGTGGTGTCCACCTGAACACTGAGAGCGGTGTTAGATCTTGTCCTGAATGGAATCTTTTTATTTTGGCAATGAGAATGGGATGCTCCCAAAGGAAAAGTTTATACATGGGTTAGAGGTGCACCGATACATCAGTCCCATATTGGATCGGTATGGATATAGGGAAAATTGACAGCATTGGAAATTGCTTTTTTTGCCTGATGTGGCTGATAATGTGTTAATAAATGCCCCATGCATGTCCACAGCCACACCACACACATGCCCCAAGCACATCCCAGCCCCCGCTGTGAAGAGCCCAGCACAGACCTGGCCCCAGCCTGCAGCAGCAGCCCAGCCTGCCCTGCATGGAGATTTGGGGACACACGCCCCCATGCCCTCCGGGATGCATGCATCAGCAGGAGCTGCCGTCGCCACCCCACCCCCAACCCTGCACGCGTCCCCTGAACAAACTGCTCGTGGCTCCATCCTGGCAGGGTGCCCAGCTGCATATCTGAATCAGATCAGTGTCGGCCGATATGGCTCCTTAAAAATCGGCCATCGGTATAGGCTCAAAAAATCTCTTATCTGTGCCTCCCTAATGTAGATAAAAATCAAAGGAATTCAATTTTTGATTAGGCTTTGGTTTGGTAATAGGAATGCATAAGGAGAAAAGTCCACCTTTTATACCTGGGGGCTTCACTCTCAACACATTCTCTTCCCTATCCATTGCCCTTCTGTGTCCCAAACAGAACTATTTTGTTTCCTGATGCCTTCTTTTAAAAAGATTTTGATGTGTTCAGATTTCAAAATGACTGTTAATTTCTGAATGGAGAGCTTGACAGTTTACTGTTAAGATATTGAAATAACTGCTGACTACAAAGTAGATGAACAAGAGGTTGGAAATTATCAGTTTACTAAACAGTTCAAAAATCTTGTTCATTCAATTCCTAACATATGGTATATAAAGCTAGTCTAACTTCCCATGCAGGTGCGCTGCAGTGTCTGTAAGGTGCATCTCTCCCAAGCCGCCTGCAGTAAAGGTTACATATATGGCATTTGTATAAAGTTTCCTAGTTCCTTAATGACCTAGTTGCTGCTGACACAGCACCTTATCTCTGGCTAGGATGTAGCATTGAAGCATTTAAGGATGCTGCAATGAGTGATGCAGCTTTTTTTTTTTTTTTTTTTTCTTTCCTTCCTGCCCTACCCAACCTTCTCCCCAGTCCCTAGAGCAGCGGTTCCCCAACTGTGGGTTGCAACCCCAAATGGGGTCAGAACATCAGCAGATGGGGTGATGTTAAACAAGGATCTGGGTTGGGAGCAAGGGGCCATGCTGAGCAAAAGGGGTCATGCTGAGGAAAAGTTTGGGAACTGCTGCCCTAGAGGCAGGAGCTAGAAGAGTAACAGTTCAGTCCACTCATGGACCCAGTCTAAGGCCTGCATAGGGGGCACTCCACTAGTTCTCTTCACTGTGGTTTTAACGAGAGACTTAAATGTGGGCTTTCCCTCCTTCCAGCTTCAGGTCGAATAATCTGTATATTGGCAGATGCTATGGTATGGGTCTTTTAATTCATAAAACCTTTACATATGAAGATTTTTGTTTTATGACTCTTGCTAACTTTTCCTGCTTGGTTTCAGTTGAGTAGGGCATTGTGTTTGGATATTTTTCTCATTATCCAATTTGCCATTTCATTCTTTTGGGATTAAATTGATCACCAGAATACAGAGGCAATTTGAAGTTCAGCTGCAGGCTTCACTGGGTACCACAGTTGCCTTGGTAGTGCTGTCGGGGTTGCATCTGTAGTCTAGTCTGAATCTTGCCTCTCCTAGTTTTATTTCTGATTTTTAGGGAGGGAGCATTACTCGGTGGTTAGAACATAGTATGGCCTGTTAGGAGTTTTGGGTTTTACCAGCTCTGCCACTGTATGATCTACCCGTATGTTTTGCTTTGATTTCCCAAGGGTGACTATAAAGGCACTGTAATATCCCTAAGAAGAATGATGCAAGGCCAGAATTTCACATTGCAAATCCTTCTCAGACTCTGTAAATTGTCAGCCTCAAACCCACTGCTTACTTCTGAGTTCTCTCCCAATGAGATGGTCTGTCACGCAAGCATACAGTCAGACCCCCAGTTATATGATTTCGAGTTACACTGATTCACATATGCACGTTTTATATAACGTGACCATGTTTCAACTTACGTGATACCCTGCTTCACGTTTACACTGTTTGCAGTAGAGCGGTTGTTAGATTGGAGTCTACTTACACGGCGTTAGCATCACT